ATTTTTTAAATTTTAAAAGAGCATTAAGGGTACAAAAAACCAAAAAGGAAGGCGGGCAATAGGAAAAAAAGGATTATACAAAATGTTTACATTAATCTAGGAAATCCATATTAAACACGTCTAAAAAACAAACAGGATTTTTTACCTCTCGACTCACTCATTATCATTTTTAACAAGGTGTTTGCAGTGACAATTGCCCTGAGAGGGCAGAGAAATAATAAAGGAAAATAATAAACAACATATATTTTAGATCTAGTCTGATTTCTATTTATATTATATACTCCCCCCTATGCTATTACAATTGCTCTCCAGACGACCACAATCAGTTCCCCTGGAGAAAATGGCTGCTTTGGAGGGCGGAGCCTGTGGCATTATACTTTGCTGAGGGCCCTCCCCTAACCCCGCCTAATCCAGGCTCCATCCCCAAAATCTCCCGGTATTTTACAACCCAGAGTTAGCAGCCCTAAGCCTGGGGAAGACAGGAATCTCAGTGGGGTGCAATGCCACAGAATCCACCCTCCAGAGCATCCATTTTTCTCCAGGGGGAACTGATCTCTGTAGTCTGGAGATGAGCTGTAATTCCGGAGGATCCCCAGGTCCCACCTGGAGGCTGGCACCCGTAACTCGAATCTTGCTGTTCCATTGCAAACCAACATGGCTACCCTGAGAGAGTTTAAGGATGCAAGACAAGCCCTGCTGTCTCAGACCAGCGGTTCATCTAGTTTTGCGCCATGGCCGACCAACGACAGTGCAGCCAACAAGCAAGGCACAGAGGCCAAGGTCCGGTGTCGCTTCCTAGCCCAGTTTTCAGAGGCTGATTGACTCTGGAGGCGAAGGTTCCCTCTCTAGCCACCATGGCGGGTAGCCGTTGGGCCTAGCCTCCGTGAACGTGCCTAACAGCAGAACGGGACTGGCCCGGGTCCATCGAGAGAGCTCCGTGGCAGGAAGGGGGTTGGGGGATTTGAACCTGGGTCTCATAGACCTGAGTCCAACACTGACCGCTATTCTAATCCTCCAGATCTCGGCTGTGCCAAGTGGCAAAACGATGTAAGTTAAAAAGGAAGAGTAAAGGTAAAGGTTCCCTTGCTCGAAAGCCAGTCGAATCCGACTCTAGGGTTGCGGTGCTCATCTCCGTTTCCAAGCCGAAGAGCCAGCGCTGTCCGAAGACGTTTCCGTGGTCATGTGGCCGGCGTGACTAAACACCAAGATGCACAGAACGCTGTTACCTTCCCACCGAAGGGGTCCCTATTTATCTACTTGCAATTTCTTGCTTTCGAACTGCTAGGTTGGCAGGAAGAAGGTGGAGGCAAAAAGTTTCAGGAAAAACATGAAAGGTGTTAAGGTCTCATCTGACAAAACCTTGAGTGAAACGGTCTACGAGCGCTGTACCGTCGGCAAGACTTGAGACCAATTTGCTTCGAAGGATCCAACTTTCATGAACTGTTTTTCACCGCATAATGAAAGTAGATTTATTTCCCCCTAAACACGACTTCGTGATCTTATCATGCTTGTTTTCCTTACAAAGTTCAAGCTCTCGGTGGTGACTGGATATCTGTTAAGATTACAACTGATCTCCAGGCGACAGTGATTAGTTCACCTGGGAAAACTTTGGAAGGTGGGCGCGATGGTATTGGACCCTACTGAAGCCCCTCCCCTCCCCAAAGCCCACCCTCCTCAGGCTCCACCCCCCAAATATCCAGGAATTTCTCAACCTGGAGCTGACAACCCTAGGCTAGCCCCACGCAGGGACCTCATGCATGCTAAGTATGCAGAGTTGAACAGCACTATGCATTTCTCTGTGTTTGACTTAGGGTGGAATTCCTTTTCTCAGCTCTTGGTAGGAGAAGAGAGTTCCCATGAGCACTCACGAAGGGCATCACCACGGCTTCTAACTTTGTTCCCAAAGACTCAGTGCCTCTATCTGTGTAATGTATCCAGTCCAGACAAGTCCAGAGACAAACGTCGAGCTTCGCTCCAAGAGACAATGGACTATGCGGATCCTAGCCCGCTCCAATCAGGGGGCTGGGTTCCCGGCCGAGAGCCTATGGGACTCTCGGCCACTATAAATAACCTATGGGAAAGTAGGGGTGTCTTTTAGGTGGCGGTTTCTCGGGGGATATAAGCTGGCCTGCGAGCCGGCCAAAGTCGTCTTGTTCCGGATGGAATAAAGTACGCTTTGCTGAAATCACTCTCCGTCTGCGTACTTTTCAATCTGCAAATCAAGTGGTTCAGCATAGCCCAGGGAATACCAAATCGTTTAACACAGAAATGCCAGTTGTGACGGACTGACCTCCGAAACCAGGATGCTTAGTGCCTCAAAGGCAGAGAGCTGGGAGGTTAGGGGTTAACACCGCACTGTAAAGCCCAGTTTGATTGACAGTCCGCTGCCTGTGTGCGGAAACCCCCGGCTTCTCTCTGATTGGTCAGCGCCAGCTGAGGAGAGCTTTCTGAAGTCTGGTCAGTCTGGTCAGAGGGAGTCAGTCCTCCTTTGGGCTTTGGCTTGGCAGTTGCCAGTCAGGAGGAATGTGCGTGTGTGGGTCTGAGGGGGAAAGACAAGTCACTTTAGAAGTGAAGGGACTGTGCACCACTGGTCCCTCTAAGCTGAGTTAGTGTGAGCTAGCTCACAGTTTTTTAGCCTCTGGCTCACACATTTATGTCTTAGCTCAGGAAGGAGGGCTCCGGAGCAAACCGATTTATGCAGTAGCCAAATCGTTCGCTCACAACTTTCATGCCAGTAGCTCACAGAGTAGAGGTTTTGCTCACAAGACACCACAGCTTAGAGGGAGCATTGCTGTGCACCAACACAATTGAGGGGAAGTTCAAAAACCAGAACTAAAAGTCTAAGTGTGTCGGCCCATGCTCCCTCTAAGCTGCGGAGTCTTGTGAGCAAAAATTCTACTTTGGTCCCTGCCACACGTGGGGAAAAAAGGACGGGCAAAGTGCGGCTTTTAAAAGCCGCACCAAAATAGGCACGTGGCGGCGGGATCATACAGATCCCCGTGAGCCGCCGTGCAATTGCTCCCCGGCACGATCAGATGCCGGGGAGACCGGGAGAAAGCCACGGGAGGCTGCTGAACTGCGCATGTCTGAGCATGCGCAGTTCGGCCAGGAGCCGGGGATGCGCCGGCGGAAGAACGCGCCGGCAATCCCACGGCTGGCTTTGATGCGGCCTTTCGGAAAGAACCACTTCAGTAGGTGGTTCTTTTTTGCTGCGAGTTATCGTCAGAAGGGCCAGATCGGGGACGGGCGCACAACACTTCCCAGATGTTGCGGTGGGATCGCACCCGTTTGCTCCGCCCCCGACCCGTCCCTCTTCCGGCCCAAATCCTCTCGTGTGACCGGGGCCTTTATAAGCTACTGGCATGAAAGTTGCGAGCGGGCGATTTGGCTGCTGCCTAAATTAGTTTGCTCTGGAGCCCATCCTTCCTGAGCGAGGACAAAAATGTGTGAGCCGGAGGCTTAAAAACTGAGCTAGCTCACCCTAACTCAGCTTAGAGGGAACATTGGTGTCAACCCTAGCTGAATTCCATTTATTCACCATCTCCAGAACTGGGGTTTAGTTTCGACAGAAGGGGCTGGACAGAAGGTTGGAAACTGCCGGTCTGGCCAAACAGAAAAAAACGGTTATCGCTCCTAGAAAGAAGAGGATATTTCTTACCCAGTTATTCAGAGGGTTCGACTCAGAAGGGACCCCTGGTTTGTGTGAAAAGGGAAACGGTCTTAGACTCCTCAAGAGTAAAAAAGGGAAAGTTATAATCCCACAAGTATTTAAATACAGGAAGAAGTTTTAGGAAACTTTATTAAGACACATTGCTGCTGAAAGAAATCTCCGAGACAAACAAACCCCTCACAGTCAAGAACTAAGTCTCTAAGAATATAAGATAGTCTTATGAAACTTTATTAAGACGCAGTGCTGCTGAAAGAAATCTCCAAGACAAACAAACCCCTCACAGCCGAGAACTAAGTCTCTAAGAATAGAAACTTCAATTATATTCTGTTGCCTGTTCAAAATGTTCTAAGTTGTATAACCAACAACAGTTACCTCAGCTTCTCGTCCCCTGCCCTATTCCTGATTCAACTGTGCCTGTTCAATAAAATCAACCTGTTTTAATTTTAGGCCGCGGTCACACGGACCTCTTACGGTGCTAGTTTTCCCACAGTTCTTCTATCCGCGACATTTTATATCGCTTGTAGGTGGTCAGACGGTCCCTCTCTCTTCCGCTTCACTCGCGCGAAGTACTGATCACACAGCGCGCCGTCCCCGTGGCGGCGTGGTTTTTTTTAAAAAAAAAACAACAACAACCTGCGCATGCGCTTGTCTTCCCATGCGCTTGGGCGTACATACAAACTAAAAAAGACCAAAATAAAAGCTAGTGCCTGTTTGCACATGCGCATAACTTAAACCGGAAACACAAAAAGGGGGTGTGTGTGTAGCGCGATCATGGTGGATTGCTGTCCAGATACCAAAACCGCAGATATAAAGTGCGAGATATTGGAAAAACACCTGTTCCAATGGGTGTCAGAAAACGCGGATAAAAAGAGCGAAAACTGCGGGACTCAACCCGCTTTGGTGCAGGAGGCGGGTTTGCCAATGTGAACAGGAAACTTTAATGCACGAGGGATCAGCAGTGAAACCCGCACTAAATGTCCATGTGACCTGACCCTCACTTTGTGTCAAGTGCCATTTCCAAATGGTTTCGTAAGTGGGCTCCTCACAATAAATCTCTGGCCAGGGCAAAAGCCAGATAACTTGTCTGTCACAGGGTGGGACACGTAGAAAGTTATAATATTATTTATGTATTTATTTCACTTTTACCCCGCCCTTCCCCCTAGGCAGGCTCAGGGTGGCTTCCAGGAACTGACAGGCAGTATACATTCACAATAAAATATAGAACATCCGTTAAAACATAACCAGTCAATATAAAACATTCATTAGATGGCGATAAAACTAAAGCGACCTGACAGTGCTTTCCACCACCACGACCACAGATAGGCAATACTTAGGTTGCTGTGCATTCCACTCTGAGAATTCTGCAACGGTCTGTAATACTTGGGGTTGCTGTGCATTCCACTCTGAGAATTCTGCAACGGTCTGTAATACTTGGGGTTGCTGTGCATTCCACTCTGAGAATTCTGCAACGGTCTGTAATACTTGGGGTTGCTGTGCATTCCACTCTGAGAATTCTGCAACGGTCTGTAATACTTGGGGTTGCTGTGCATTCCACTCTGAGAATTCTGCAACGGTCTGTAATACTTGGGGTTGCTGTGCATTCCACTCTGAGAATTCTGCAACGGTCTGTAATACTTGGGGTTGCTGTGCATTCCACTCTGAGAATTCTGCAACGGTCTGTAATACTTGGGGTTGCTGTGCATTCCACTCTGAGAATTCTGCAACGGTCGGTTCTCCCGCCCCAACCGTTGCAGAATTCTCAGAGTGGGGCTGTTCTCTCGTGAGCAGTTCTCGAGAGAGAGAGAGCTCTCTCCCCCACACCTACCTCACAGGGTGTCTGTTGTGGGGAGGGGAAGGGAGATTGTAAGGCGCTCTGAGACTCTGAGGGAAGGGCAGGGTATAAATCCAATCTCCTCCTCCTCCTCAGCGCTCTCTCCGCCCCACCTACCTCACAGGGCGTCTGTTGTGGGGAAAGGAAGGGAAGGAGATTAGAAACCACTCTGAGACTCCTTCGGGTAGTGGAGGGTGGGGTATAAATCCAGTCTCCTCCTCCTCCTCCTCCTTCGCCTCCTTTTGTCTCTGCTGTCCCCAAACTCCCTCCCCATCTTTGTGTGTGTCCAATATCTTTCCCTTCCTTATTCTCCCCCCCCCTCTGTTTTGTTTTCCCCTGGCTTTTCAAAAAAAGAAGTCGATCCACGCTGCTTGTGAGGGGCCTGAGTCAGGTGCTGCATCCGGCTTACAAATCAAAAGTGTCTCGATCCGAGGCAGCCAGCTCAGCCCGGTGTCTCCGCGAGGGGATCTTATTCTCCCCTCTGTCAGCAGCCGTCTGCCTTCGCTTTTCCGAGCCAGGCGGCTGCAAAGTCATCGGAAGACCCACTTTTGGTGCTGGAAAGACCCCCGAACAAACAAACCTCCTTTTCACTTGCGCGTCAATTCAGTATACGTTGCCGATGAAGATGTCCCTGTATCGATTGTCTGGCTGTTAACAAAAAGGGAACCTACGTACTTTGCAATTTGTGCATCCTCTCTGCACCCCTGTCTGCTCTTGGTAGGAGAAGAGAGTTCTCGTGAGTATGTGCAAAGCGCATAACCGCCTCTTGGTCTCGCATGTTCAGTGCCTCTATCTGTAAATCAAGCATAGCCTAGTGAATATACAAGTCTTAAAAGAATTAGACTGTCTTGATTATGGATTCCCCCAAACACTCTGATGAGGGGTCAGGGTCTTAATAAAAGAAGAAGAGATTCATATCCCGCCCTTCACTACCCAAAGGAGTCTCAGAGCGGCTTACAAACTCCTTTCCCTTCCCCTCCCCACGACAGACACCCTGTGAGGTAGGTGGGGCCGAGAGAGCTCTTTCAAGGACTGCTCCTGATAGAACAGCTCTGAGAGAACTTGTGACTGACCCAAAGTCACTCCAACAGCTGCATGTGGAGGAGTGGGGGAATCAAACCCCGTTTCTCCCAGATTAGAGTCTGCACTCTTAACCACTGCACCAAACTGGCTCTTGTGGTGTGTGAGGTGAAAAGTGCTGTCAAGTCGCGGATGACTCATGGTGATCCCGTAGGGTTTTCAAGGCCAGAGAGGAACAGAGGTGGTTTGCCATTGCCTGCCTCTGTGTAGCAACCCTGGACTTCCCTGGTGGACTCCCATCCAAGTACTAACCAGGGCCGACCCTGCTTAGCTTCCAAGATCCAACAGCGGTGGTTTGCCATTTCTTAGCTTCAAAGATCTGATAAGATTGAGCTAGCCTAGGCTTTGTAGATCAAGGCAAGAGAAGAACAGAGGTGGTTTGCTATTGCCCGCCTCTGCGTAGCAACCCTGGACTTCCCTGGTGGTCTCCCATCCAAATACTAATCTGTGGGCCAACCCTGCTTAACGTCTGAGATCTGACAAGATCAGGATAGCTTGGGCCATCCAGGTCAGGGCAAAAGACATACAGAGGCAGTTTGATGTTGCCTGCCTCTGCGTAGCAACCTTTTCCCCTGGTGGTCTCCCATCCAAGTACTAACCAGAACTGATCTTGCTTAGCTTCCAAGATCTGATGAGATCAGGCTAGCCTGGGCCATCCAGGTCAAGGCAAAAGACATACAGAGGCGGTTTGGCAGTGCCTGCCTCTGCACAGCAACCCTGTACTTCCTTGGTGGTCTAACCAGGACCGACCCTGCTTAGCTTCTGAGATTTAATGAGATCGGGCTAGCCTGGGCCATCCAGGTCAGGGCAGACATACAGAGGAGGTTTGGCAGTGCCTGCCTCTACATAACCACCCTGGACTTATTGGTGGTCTCCCATCCAAGTACTAACCAGAACTGATCTTGCTTAGCTTCCAAGATCTGATGAGATCAGGCTAGCCTGGGCCATCCAGGTCAAGGCAAAAGACATACAGAGGCAGTTTGCCATTACCTGCCTCTGCGTAACAACCCTGGACTTATTGGTGGTCTCCCATCCATGTACTAACCAGAACTGGTCTTGCTTAGCCTCCAAGATCTGATGAGATCAGGCTTCCCTGGGCCATCCAAGTCAGGGCAAAAGACACACAGAGGC